GGGGGGAAATAAGAAAAGGAAAATCCCTACTGGTAGCCCAAGCCAGGTTAGAAGTCCTGTAGGCGGGGTCCGGGGATCCTGCATCGTTTAAAAGCTTTTTCGGTTCCGCCACTGGTTGAGAACCATCAGTTTAGTTTAGGAAAGGGCACGTGAAGAATTTCAGGTGAGAGAGACCCAGGTGAGCCCCAGTTCCGTGCCTCATGACTTGTGCAGCGGGACCTGTCTTCGCTTGTAGCTCTTAGCTTCCTCACATCTGGTATGATGGAAACCGTCACGGCTGATACCGATGGAGGCTGCTCTAGGAAGCAGTTCACGCGCGTTGCCCGGTCGTGAATCCTCCCAAGAACCTTTATGAAGCATCCCTCCGTTTTACAGGCCAGGAAACTAAGACGCTGAGAGATCAAGTAACTTCGCCAAGGTCCGAGGAAGGGGTGGGGCCCTGGCACTTCCAACACTATTTATTTGACTCCCGGCTCCGCTCTCTCAGCCGCTGGGCTATCTGTGCTATCTCCTGCCTCTCAAGGCTGTCAAACGTTTCTCTAAAATGCCCAGCCCCTCCCTGTTGCCGGCAGAGACCGTGTCAGGGTAGGAGGGCTGTTCGTTGGACACAGGTCAGTTAGGCAGGAGTTGAAGTGTGCATGGGAGGTAGCGAATGAGCATGGTATGGGACGGAACTTTCTGGGCCTGCGTTCTGTTATCCCAGGGCCAAGTCCATGAAGTCTGTTTCCCAGAGGGCCCTTCGGAGGTGGCCCGGCGTGATGGCGGGGTCACAACAGGTCTTTCTGTGCAGCATTGGGTTTGCCTTGCATCGGGGAACTGACCCTGTCTGCACCTGCAGCTGGCCATCCGTCTGTCCTAAACAGCCCTTTCATCTGTTTCCCTGGAACTTAGCATTGAAGCGTGATCACCTGCTTGCCGAAAAAGAATGCCAGTGACGTGGCATCTTTTGAAGTTGTCATTTTCGAGTGGCTTTGGATAGAAGAAAGCTTGCAGGAGGTGTGAGAGAGCCAGCAGCGTCTTCTAACAGTTTATTTCCTGAGCATGGGTTGTGGGTGTCAGTGTGGTGGGCGAGCTGTGGCGTTCCTGCCTGTGTCCGCGCGTTACACGTTATCAGGGAGGTGAGTCATTTCGTCTGGGGAGTGGGGCTGCCATAGGAACCCTAGGATGCAGCCTGCTCTGTCCAGGACGACAGACCCTGGCCTGTCGCCGGAGGCTGTGGCTCACTCCCCTTACCAGCCGGCCTCCTGGTTATCATCTGCTTTCCTGTGTCCACATACACACGGGGAACACACACGTGGCCAGTGTGCGTTATGTACTGGTAAGCCGGTGGGGCTGGCTGTGGACGATCAGGCCTTAGCTCAGGTGCTGCTCAGGGACACAGACTCTGGCTCCCCGATTCAAACAGACCCCCGTGGACCCCTAGCCCCAGCGTCAGCCCTCTGCTTTCATCGCAGCATTTGTCCCGCTCTGAAATGACTTTGTGCGTCTGTTAGCTCGTACATTGTCTCTTCCCCACCGCAGGCCAGATGCTTCCCAGCACAGGGGCGGTGTCCACATAATGCTCTGTGCTCACGGGGCACCTAGCACCTGTGTCTGTTGAGTGAATGAGTAAATGGAATGACAGAGTTGAGGGTGGCGTCCCAGAACGTGGTGGTTTTCCGCGATCTTTTACTCAAGTGGCAGCCTTAACTCTGGATGACACTTTTAGCTTGAGCTCCGTCCCTCCCGTGCCCCACCCCAAACTGCAGCCAAGATGTTTATAGTCTGTTAACCCCGCGGTCTTTAAGCAATTGCTTCTTTAGCCCTTCAACATAGTGAGCATACGTGTATCCCCTTAAACATGCTTACGTTGACATCCAAGTTTCACGTCTAAACACATCTGAGGATAAAAACTCTTTGCCGGGGTGGGGGGGGGAGGTCCAAAATAGGTTAAAATGCTAAATGTTTGTATACGATGAAATGAAGCACACAAGAACTTTTTGGAAGATTTTGTGTTAAACTCCACGCTTATCTTCCCTAATCCCTGTGCTTGTTGGGGGGCGAAGAGGAAAAAGCAGAGCTCCGGGGAAGACGGTGTGGGAGGTGGAAGGAAGCACTCTTCTGTGGGTTAACAGGATCCACAGAGAAGAAGAGACTGAGGGTCTGGGGGGAACTGAAGCAGGGGCAGGTGGTTATAAGATGAAGACACCTGAGATGGCCTGTGAGTTTGAAAGAAGAACATGTTAGGCTTCAGGAGGCTTAGTCAGGAGGTTTCCCTGCTCTGTTTGAGACCCAGGAGCGCCTGGTTGGAATGACAGCCACAGCCCGCGTGCAGCTCCTCCAAATCTTGTGCAAGGAGCCAAAGGAATAGGGAGAATGGTCTCTGCTTTGCCAAATAAAAGAGTGATGACTTATTTGGGTTTGAGATTCAACTTGAATTTTTGGCTTACGATATTTACTCTGCCATGTCTTTATGGGATTTCCCTCTCAAAGCGTCTCCTGCCAGAGATTTGCGCATGTGGTTCCTTGATAGTAGAACTAATCCCCGATTTGATAAATCAGTCATCCTCTGTCTCCGCTCACTTGGCGTGAGTCCATCAAAAGTATTCCATGCACGTGCCCAGCTGAGGGGAGGGAGGGAGAGGGAGTGCGCGTCCGTCCGTCCCTGCATGTTTGGACGCTCTTGGGAGCAGGGGCATGGTGGGGACATCAGATAAGACCAGGAGCCAGCGGTGGCTTGAGGGAAGGATTAGTAGAGTCGGTGCTTCCAGGCGACTAAGTGAGACGACTTCTTACGTGTCACGTGTCACCTGCGGCTGCCCCGATGCACACGGGAGGGCGTTGTCTTCTGTCCCCGCCGGTTTTCGAGAAGCCCATCACTTTTCTTGGGACTCAAGAAAGTCCACTGGCGCTTTTGTGCTCCACTTGTGTGCTCACACCGGGCAGGGAAATGCCTGTCTTCTAGGAACGTGTTTGTTCCCAGCTACTGGGAGCTGGAGAATCCCAGCCAAGTGCTTTTGTGGCTCCTACATGTCTCCTGGCCTCCTGATGGCCTTTCTTCTTCCTCCTCACTCTGCATGGTCTAGAACATGAAGAAACAGCCCCCTCTGTGTTCCATTTGCTTCCTCTCTGCCCCCAGCCCACAGGCACGGGGGCAGATCCCGGAATAACGTGGTGGGTGTTTGGGCACGTGATCTCAGTTTGGTCATAGGCTGAGTATGGGACCGTGTTGGGGCGTCCATCTTAGGGAAGGTGTCCTCTTTGAAGCCTGTGCCTGGCAGTGGCCTAGTGGCTCTCCTATCCCCATCTGGCACTCGCTGGCTTAGAGACAGAGCCCCTGTCTATGTCTGACATCCACCTAGATCTGTGGTGTGGTCCCAGGAGCTTTGCCTCATCGGGGTGACCAGTGCCCGGAAGCGATGGCACGTAGCTGGCCAGGAGAGCGAGGTTGCCTGTGGCACCCAGCGAGCACCGGGCAGTGTTGCTGACCCGGGAGGGAGCAGGCAGCCAGTCTCGTGCTCTCAGTGGGCAGCCCCTGCCACTCTTGTCACCAGATTCTGGAGTCTCCTTAGAGTCTCAAGCATAAGACACCAGCCAAGGAAACACTGCACCTTAAGTCTCCAGAACAGGGTTCTTTGGGCTGCTTTCTTAAAATCCAGCGAAAACCTCTCTCCCTGGTGTTTTGTCTTATTATTGGAACATTTCTCCTACCGTTAACCTCACCCCCACTGGTGTTGGGGAATCCCTTCCTTATAACGCTTTCTGCTTTGGGGTTAGTAGCGGGATTCCTGGCTGGGTTTAGGGCCCTCAGGAATCAGGTTGGGAATCTGGGGTTGGGGGGCAGTCCCCCTGCCACGCGTGACCTGAAAGGAAGATGGAGATTTGTGCCTGGGCTGGGCGGGGCTCTGGCCATTAGAGGGTCGAGGCGTTGCTGGACTGTAAAACGCCCAGGGCTTTGAGGTGGGAGTGAAAAAGGCATTTCTGCGGAATTCTCGAAGGTTCGCCGTGGGGCACACACTGCTTCGTGGCTGACACCTCGCTCTGTCCTCTCCCCAGCCTGTGGGCCGAAGCTGACCAACTCCCCCACTGTGATCGTCATGGTGGGGCTCCCAGCCCGGGGTAAGACGTACATCTCAAAGAAGCTGACTCGATACCTCAACTGGATCGGTGTCCCCACGAAAGGTGAGGCGTGTGCCAAGGTCGTTACCTGGAGCCTTTCACTCTTGCTCACCAACCCCTACGACCAAAACCACGTCCCTTCCGCCTCCAGCTGCTGGGACCTGCCGTGCAGGGCCAGTCTTGGGCTGGCCTGTGCCCACAAGCGTGGGGCATCCTTTTGGGCCTTGTCACTCGGTACATTATATACGTATCCTCGCTTGGCGTTGTTGGGATCTTTTCTTTTCCTGCTCTGTCATTCCTGCTGCCCCACAACCTGCTCAGCCCTCACCACCTTCAAAAAGCCTTCTCTGGCTGCATGGTCTGTGGAGATCTGGGTCCTCCCCTTTTTTTTAAAATTTATTTTTGATAGAGAGTGTTTGCGGGGGAGGTACAGAGAGACGGAGGGAGACCCGAGGATCTGATGCAGGCTCTGTGCCGACGGCAGTGAGCCTGACATGGGGCTTGAACTCATGAACCGCAAGGTCATGACCTGAGCTGAAGTCGGATGCTCAACCAACTGAGCCACCTGGGTGCCCCTGTGCCCTTTTAAGTACTCTAGCACTCAGTTGTGACATTCTTCCACTGACTGTCGTCAAATGTTCCACACCATCGGCTACCTTTGTATGACTCTTGGCCTGGTCTTCCCGACTACACTGGAAAGGTGGTGAGGTGGGGGACTAGGTTTTGCATCCACTGTCCCCCACGGTGCCTGGCGCGTTGTGTCGTGTGGTGAATGCCCCCTAAATGCTCCACGCTTCCCTGGGGCGCAGGCTGCTGGCTCAGTAGGTGAATGGCAGATCTGGGCCCCACGGCACGCGTGAGACCCTGCGCTGTCCTGGGGGATCGTGCGCAGGAATCACTGCCCCTGTTTCCGCGGGACCCGTGGCAGCCGCCCCTCCGCACAGCCTTAGGACGCTGCACCTGCAGACGGGGCAGTGGAAGCCAGTCCCTGGGAAGGTAGAGTGGCCCCAGGCAGCGTCGGGTCTGGGGGAAGCTGGGCTGCCTTCTGGGCTCGCAGCCCTGGGTGTAGAGGTCCGCTCTCCCGCCTCGGTGTCTCAGCAGAACCTCATTCAGGTTGGTGTTGCTGTGTAGGCTCGGTTTCCTTTTTTAGAGAGAGCTCCCAGATGTTGGTGGCTCCTTCTTCCTGGGGGGTCAGCTAAGGGTTCCCGCCTTTGTCCCCACAGTGTTCAACGTCGGGGAGTACCGCCGGGAGGCCGTCAAACAGTACAGCTCCTACAGCTTCTTTCGCCCCGACAACGAGGAGGCCATGAAAGTCCGCAAGTAAGGCCCGAGCTGCCGTGGGGGCCTGGGCTTGGGTTTGCTCGGCTTCCCGAAGCCGGGTTCTGTCGGAGAAAGAAGAAGCTGGTCTGCGGCGTGGCTCCGCTGTGGCCGTGACATGTGACCCCACCTCCGGGTGTGTTAGGATGAGGCGCCGCCTCCGTGAAACTCACTGCCTCCTCTGCTCCCGGAGGGTCTAACTCGGCCGCTGGTTGATACAAATCAACAGCAGTGTCTCGTTGGGAGTGAACAAGGCCATTTTTGCGGAAAACCTTCCGCTTCCATTTGGAGAGGATTTTTCTTGTAAGCCCAGGGTGGTCGTGAAACCCAAGTGCCATGGCGCTCAACCCTGACAAGTGTTGTAGGGTCACCTGGGAGCCTGGGGAGATCCGGATGTGGGCCGTGCCCTGCATAGAGCCGTGAGAATCCATGGGCCGGACCTGGGCGTCAGCTCTGTAAAAGCTCCCAGTGAGATCTCGGGGCGCAGCCCGGGCATGAGGCCCATTTCCCACGGGCAGCCGCAGCCGCCTGTCTGCGGGGCTGGACTGGGAGCCTGTGGGCCCGAGTGGACTGGGCCCCGCAGACCCGGCCGGCCTGGCGGTTTCCTCACTCTGCTCGCTGGGATGAGCGGCGGGTTGCTGGGCCTTCCCCCGCCGGATGGGCTGGCGTGACGCGTGCTTTCTCTTCCTGCCTGTTGTAGGCAGTGCGCTCTGGCTGCCCTGAGAGACGTCAAAAGTTACCTGACGAAGGAAGGGGGCCAAATTGCAGTAAGTCCGGGGGCGGGGTGCCAGCTCTGTGTCCGAGGCCATAGCACACGGTGCCCTGGGGAGACAGAAGTGTAGGCACTGCCCCGGGCAGTGCCGAGAGCCGCCGCAGGGACACCTTGGAAAGGGACAAGGCTGGCCTGAGTTGAGGGATGATGGCCTAGAGCAGCTTAGCTGGAGTGGTTAGCGGGGGGCGGACCTGGGGCACGGCTGGTGCTGTGCTCTGTGCCCACCCCTCCCCTGTGTGCTGGGGCGGGGGGAAGGGGTGGACCGGGGTGGGGGCTGCCGCTGCGGTAGCCAGGGGTCCCTTCCACGTGCACCCTCCCCTGTGTGTAGCTGTTGTACGTCGGCTCTAAGTACCCTACTGTTCATCTCGAACGTGGCCTCTCTTCACGGCCCTACTGTCTCCCCATCAGGTGTTCGATGCCACCAATACCACCAGAGAGAGGAGACACATGATCCTTCATTTTGCCAAAGAAAATGATTTCAAGGTGAGCGGAACTTCTCTGGAGCATGCGGGAGCAGGGAAGGCAGCTCGGGGACGGGCTGAGTCCTGTGTCTCTGCTCCGGGCCTGGTTCTCTACCTCCTGCTGCTCTTGTTTTGCTGCGGACACATTGGGCCTTTCCTGTGGGGGCTCTGGGAGTGGGGGGACGGTTACCCAGACTAGGGTGTGGGATGGGCAAAGGACTCAGGGTTGAGCAGGTAGTTCTTTTTATGTGTTTGAGTGTTCGTAAATGGGGTCCTTCCTGGTGACATGAGGTTGGTGACATCACAGTGACACCAGCGTCCGCGCTTTGTGTGTGTCACATTTGTGGTTTTCTAACTTTCCTCTTTGCTTTCTTCCAGGTGTTTTTCATTGAGTCTGTGTGCGATGACCCGATGGTTGTGGCCTCCAACATCATGGTAAGACAACGTAGGACCCCACTGTAGGGCGACAGTCTGAGAAAAGTTGGGGAACCAGCTCGGGCCCAGAGCAGTAACTAGACGCTGAGAACGAGCCGGCTGTTCCAGCCCGTTGGTTTTGTCTGAGTCGTGGGACCGGGAAGGTGGAGGTGTGGAGTGGTGTTTAATTTAGAAGCATGTTCTGTGACCTGCCCTGGCTTTATCTGGGGTCCTTGCAGGCGGTTGGCAGAAAGCAGCCTTTGCGGGACCTAAGAGATAAAAAGCAGGGGCCTGGGAACAGTTTCTGTGAGTGGCAGTAGCTTGGCAGCTGGGTGGGGACAGGGCTGCTTGGGACAAAGGGCAGCTCACCCTTCCAGAAGGGAAGGAAGGCAGCAGGCTGGACTCTCTTTAGCTGTGAAGGTCCCCAGTAGAAAAGAATGACTGTGTGTTGATAAAACTTCATAGGACACAACAGACTGAAAGGCAGAATCCCCAAGTGTGGGAAAAACAGGGGCAGTAAGACTATCTTCCTGCTGACCTGTCTGTAACATACCCTTCTCCTCGCCCTGTGCCGAGGGGAGGTTGCCCAGATAAACTGAGGGTAATTGGCAGCTTAATTTGATTAATTCTTAAGTTTTGTCACTTGAAAGCAATATACCATGAATGGAAGCAGTTACCATGAAGACTTTACCACAGGTCACTTTCTCATGTAGCTGATTTTCTGTGCAGCTTAAATACGTGAGAATAAGCCGTGTCTCTAATGAAAAGCAGGTCTGATGCTTCTACAGGGAATGCTGGGGTTTGCTGCGTTACAAGCGCGCATCTTTAGAGGGTTGCTGAGGATTCATTGGCTTCCGATGTTGGAACTTTTCTCCAGGGCAGTGGGAATGTGTACAAGCATTTCTAAGAACGGAGTTCATAGCTCAGAAAGGGCTGTTCACATTGTGGAAAACCCAGATGCGTTTCATCGGGTCCAGAGGAAGAGGCCCAAAGGACGGGGAGGTAGAACAGAAGTTGCTGTGATCTGGACAAAGGGTTTTGCTACGTTCCTTTAGTTTCGTTCTACTAGCTTCGTCTTGGTAGCAAAGCACAGCGCGGACGCAGAGTGCATTTTCCGCAGTGAGCAGTCAGCCACGTGCGTGGCTAGGAGCTCACCACCGATCTTGTCCTCTGTTAACGCATCCAGTCGTTCGCCCCGACCCTCCGGGTTCAGGAATCTTGTGTCTCCCATTAAGCCCCAGAGCATCTTTGCAGGGTAGGCCTTCCCAGCATGCTCTCTGGCGGCGGCCGTGCTAGGGAGAAAGGGATTTGGGAACTTAGATTGTTTTTCATCGTGGTAAAATATACAATTTACCGTCTTCACCGCGCAAGTGTTCAATCCCGTGGCACTCAGCACGCTCAGGTCTCTGCACCATGGTCACCACCACGGATGCGCAGAACCTTTTTATCTTCCCAGACCGAGACTCTGCACCCGTGAAGCGCTGACTCCCCACTGAACTCAGGTTTTGTTTTGTAATGTTTATGTATTTATTTTGAGAGAGCGAGCACGTGAGCTGGGAAGGGGCAGAGAGAGAATCTCAAGCAGGCACTGCAGCCAGTGCAGAGCCTGATGCAGGGCTCGGTCTCACGAACCGTGAGATCATGACCTGAGGCAAAATCAAGAGTCAGACACTTAATCGACTCAGCCACCTAGGTGCCCCTGAACCCGGTTTTTTGTTTTTAAGAATATATGTATTTTTGATGTCTTTATTTTTGTGAGAGAGAGTGTATGTGAACAGGACAGGGTCAGAGAGTGAGGGAGACAGAATGTCTCCGAGCTGTCAGCACAGAGCCCGACACAGGGCTCAAACTCACAAACTGTGAGATCGTGACCTGAGCAAAGTCAGACACTTAACCGACTGACCACCCAGGCGCCCCTGAACTCATGTGTTTAAAGAGTGTCTGCCTGCCTCCTGGCAGTGGTGGTGGTTGTAGAGGAAAAGAGCACATGCAGGAACAAATTTCGCTAAAATTTCACTGAATTTTGCTAAAAACCCTGCCAGGTTTCTCAGACCTACTGTTCACTTACAGGGGATGCGTGAGTCCGAGGGCTGTTTCTTCTGCTTTCTCTTCCCATAAGAGCAAACCTTAGAAAGGACTGGGCCCGGTGGAGAAGCACTAGTTGGGGAGCAGTTACAAGCATGTGGTGCCCCATCCATGGGTGGTGGCAGGAAGAATCCTGCCTGGCGCACAGGGCAGGGCATCACCCGCAATTCGGGAGCGTGCCTTCGCTGACCGACAGCCTGGCCCTTGGTGTGGGGAGTGCTGCAGGTGTGGATCCAGAACTCGAATTGAGGCTTGGCGGTCTGGGGACGACCTGGCTACCGGGTTGACCCCGAATCGTGGCCCCATTCGGATGTGTTCAGTAGAAGCCTGTGGCTTTCCTGTGTACGTCCTTCCAGGGAGCGATCCCCTGTCCACTGTGGGTGCTCTGTGTCATCACTGGGTTAGAACTCAAGCCCGGTGTATTTCTTTTTTTCTTTTCAACGCTGGGTGGGATCATCGTTACTCTGAGCTGGTCTGTACTTTCCCTGTTTGCGAGCCCCAAATCCCGCTTCGTCTAAGCAGAAAGCCTTCCAGCGTGATTCATCAGCTGCCTCTTTGTGGTGTTACAGGAAGTTAAAATCTCTAGCCCGGATTACAAAGATTGCAACTCAGCAGAAGCTATGGACGACTTCATGAAGAGAATTAGTTGCTACGAAGCCAGCTATCAGCCCCTCGACCCTGATAAATGTGACAGGTAATAACGAAGAGGTGACTGTCTCTGACTCTTCTGCTTTGGTAGAGTTTGTTTGTTTTTTAGTGTTTTCGTGCTGTCCGTACAAAGCACTTGCTCCTGGATCCTTTTATAAACTGTCTTTTAAAACGTCTTTAAAAAAATCCTTGATTGCGTATTCCGTGTGACTGTTTCCGGCACTAACTGTAGAAGCACGGAAGTACACACGTGAGCCCTGTCTTGCTCCTGTCCCCTTGACATGCGTGTCCTTTCTCTCTGCTCTGGTCTCCCGCCTCCCTCTCCCCTCTTCTGACCACACGCTGCTGTGGATAGTGCCCACGTGTTCTGTCTCCGAGAACACAGATTCAGTCTGCGCCCTCCCCTCGTGGGTCTGTGGGGGCTGAGTCTCTGCCATCGGCCGGGGCCATGGGGATTTACACCCGGGCTGGCTGGGCTGGGCTGTGCTATCAGCGGAGTTCTGATCGGCTGGTCGCCTTCCCCGGCAGGGACCTGTCCTTGATCAAGGTGATCGACGTGGGCCGGAGGTTCTTGGTGAACAGAGTTCAGGACCACATTCAGAGCCGCATCGTGTACTACCTGATGAACATCCACGTGCAGCCCCGCACCATCTACCTGTGTCGGCATGGCGAGAGCGAGCACAACCTCCAGGGCAAGATCGGAGGGGACTCGGGTCTGTCCAGCCGGGGCAGGAAGGTAGGGGGAGCCGGGGGCAAGGCGGGCTGCCGAGGGGCTGGGTGCATCCCGTGTGTGCAGCGTGCGTGTGTGTGTGCGTGCATGCATGCGTGTGTGTGTATGTGTGTGTGTGATAGTGTAGTCACGCCCCTGACGCGGAATGAGACAGGTCTTGCTCTGCTTCTCCAGGAGGGGCAGGAGCCTGAGTCAGGCCGTGTCCCTCTGTCCCACACCCTTGCAGTTTGCCAACGCCCTGAGCAAGTTTGTGGAGGAGCAGAACCTGAAGGACCTCAAGGTGTGGACCAGCCAGCTGAAAAGCACCATCCAGACGGCGGAAGCCCTGCGTCTCCCCTACGAACAGTGGAAGGCGCTCAACGAGATCGACGCCGTGAGTGCCGGGGCCTGGCCTTGGCCGTGGGGAGCGGGAGGGCACGGAGGTCTCTCCCCTGGGAAACGAGAGCCCTCGCAGACCCGCACGTGCCACGTCGAGCGACTCGAGGTGACGTCTGGGTGTTCCCGCCAGGGTGTCTGTGAGGAGATGACCTACGAGGAGATCAGGGACACCTACCCTGAGGAGTACACTCTGCGGGAGCAGGACAAGTACTACTACCGCTACCCCACCGGGGAGGTACGTGTGCCCGCTCTCGCCCGCGTCACTCGGTGCAGCCGGCGTGTACTGTGCGCACGGGAGCTGGTGACAGGCCAGGCTGAGAGAGGGCCGCGGGGGGCCCAGGTGGCCCCATTCGGGTAACTGTGCTCAGCAGCCACGTGCTCCGGGAGGAAGGGGCAGGAAGGGCTCTTGCATCCCGCCTGCCCCTTACGCCTTCTGATGCCTGTTCCCGGCACTCTCCCTTCCGAATCCAGGTTTCCTAAACCGAACCTTGTAAACGGCTCCAGGAGAGGCACAGGTGTATTTTCCTGTGAGCACCAGCGAGAGATGTGTCTCTCAGATGAGCCCATGGTGACGTGGGAGGCAATAGCAGTCAGGGGTGATGGCTCACCCTGTGCGCGGGTTCCCCTTTGCAGACGCGATGGCAACTGTGTCATCTCAGGTCCCGCGCATCACTGATTCGCTGAGGGAGCCCTGGACGCAGCCTCCGGGTGATGCTCTGGTGTCAGCTGCAGGCAGCCTGGTGACACCTGGCGGGTCCTTGCTGTCTGCGGGCCGTCTCGGTTGTCTGTCACGTTTCAGGTTCCTCCTGCTCAGGGCGCTCACCTCCTCCGTGGCCCTTGTTCCCGGAACCTGATTAGTGAGAGAACAAGGGAGACCACAGAGGGATGGGCGTGAGCAGGAACCTTGGTAGCCTTAAAAGTCACATGCCCACCCATTTTTTTCAATTTTTTTTTTTTTAATT